TGTTGAGGACCTATGATGAACCATGGAAATAATCTGAGACCTTTGCAACCCAAATTTCCTTGAGAAACTCAAAACCCTAGTTGTAGACCTTTGGCTTAGGAGGAGCATTTGACTGGTCATCCCTTGAGATTCTTTAGTATTTGAGAATCCTTGAAAGAATGTCTTGAGAAAAATGGGAGGGAAAATTTTGGGGATACAACATATACTCTAATGGTTTTGGTCTAGTGTGTAGTTGTTGTTGTAATGTTCTAACTCTGATATCAAGGTGTGTGACATCATCAGGTTCTGAACATAAACACTAATGGAAGAAAACATTTGGTTACATGTTACAGTTAAAGTCAAGATTCTGGAATTCATCTTATGCAACGGTTCTTAGGGACGTTAGTATAAGAGGTTTTGATCGTGACTTTATGGTTAAGCTCTGGAGGCCTTTTAAAGCTTTTCTTCTATGTGTTCCAAGTTCTGAAGATTATGAAGACAAGGTTCTGCTAAACAAGTTCTGATGATCTGAAGAAAAACAAGTTCTTACGACCAAGTGCTGAAGACTCTAAAGACAAGGTTCTGATAGGACAAGTTCTAAAGACTCCAAGACTTAGGTTATAATACTTAAGAGTGATTCTTCTGCAACAAGCTTCAAACATTCAAATTATTTGAAGCCTCTGAAGATTATAAGAAGTTCAAAATGGTTAATGTGTGATATTATACAAAAGATACAAAAACTGCTCTGTGACATCTACCCTCTAGGGTGGAGTAAGGATTGTCCTTTTGTACTATACTGTCTGTCACTCTCATTATGACTGTTGGGAACTAACAGCTGGATTTATGATTATCTTTCTACCCCTTCAACATATTACTTTTACAAGCTATAAAAGGAATACTTGGAAGCTGAAGAAAAGACGGAATCAACATTACAACAAAAAATCTATCAGATTAAATCAAGCTTAAATAAAACTACATCAAAGCGTTGTGCAACTCTTTAGAGAAATCTTCTGTGTATAATTTTGTAAATAGGCAAGGAGTTGTTGCTCGTATCTTGTTGTAAAACACTTAGGTGTTTTTCTTTGTACTAAAACTTTTGTTTAATCCGCTTAAAAGAAGAAAAATGTAATACACTACAAGTATTTTCAACGGATGTTGATTGATTCCTTGAGTGACCAAGTGAAGGTCTGATCTCAAAAAGACTCTTGTTGCGGTTTGAGTGGATTCGCAATAAGGATCAACTGACTTAATGGGGGTGCCAATAAGGTTGATCTGACTTATTGTAGGTTGGTTGTAATCAGTTTGGTTATAATGGATTAAGTCATTGTTGAAGGAAAATCACCTTGAGGGATGGACTGGAGTAGCTTAGTTAACAGTGAACCAGGATAAAAATAATTGTGTTCATTTATTTTATGTTCTAAGTTAACTTGGTCTTTCATCAACGAATAGATTTAAAATTATTTTGGTGAAACTCAATTCAAACCCCCTTTCTTGTGTTTCTCACACCTTCACTTAAAACTTCCCTTTTAGAATCATCAACAAAGTAACACTAATTAGAATACTTTTACTGCAGTTAAGTGTCTGGAAATGTCACTATCAAACAAAAATATATTTGGTTAAACAAAACTTAACTTGACCTTTGAGAAAGTAACCAAAATTGTTAAAATCAAGTTACCACAGAAGATATATCTTCAGTGCAAGTATATGCTTTTAGCTTGAGATTATGATGTTTAGCACAATGTTGAGACATTAAGATTGACATCCTTGACCCAACTTTCCCTTTGATGAAAACAACTTGTTATCACTTGAGTTTTTACTCTGTAATATTTAGCTTGAAAACTCAATCCATTTTAGCCTTCTAATTATCCTTCCACTTGAGGAACTCCCTTCAATCAGAATTGAACTTACCTTACATACTTGATTATGATATCAAATTTTAAGGATGAAATCACTTCACCTTGTAAGATATAGATAGTAGACAAACCTTCATTCTCTTAAGACATAAGATCATAAATAAACCACATTCTATTTCTTTCTGGTTGAAAGTCCTTTTTATTCTAAACACTCATATCTTTGAATAAAATAGTCAGCACATCATGAGATAAATCTTCAAAATAGAAATCTTCATTATAAGTCCATCTTTCAGTCAAAAATTGAAATAGAAAACCCATACAATTGTTCTTCAGATAAGTATGGCATTCTTCTCCACAAAGATCCAAGGTCTTCACACTCCTATGAATGCTTAGACATTGATCAATACACCAATTCTAGCCTTTCTTTTAGCATCACAGACCTGCTGAAGTCAGCACAAATGTTATGACATATGGTCACGACATATTGTCTAATTTATTCAACACTTGATTGGATTTCCTTCTAAGAAATATAATAGTAATAAGAAACTCTTCATCAGAAAACTGAAAAATAAGCTTCAACAGATTTAGAAACAAAAGCCATGCTCTTGTTCTTCTTCAATAGTTGTAACTTCCATGTAAAATCTCTTGAATAGAGACCTGGGTTTCTTCTTCTTGATCATCCTTTCTTCTGATCTCTTTTCTCCCAAAACACTTAGATGTGTATTTATGAGTGGACTTGAGAATTTCCCAAGTATCTTTGGCCATAAGTGATAATGAGTCTGAAAAAGAAACTTATCAATTCTATTAATTATGGTCTTGACAACTTCAAGTTTACATAGATACAACTCATGTTCTACTCTTCAATATCTTCAGAACCAGGATTCTCCTATCCTGATAATTCTTTAAAATATTTGTCCATTGATAACCAGAATACAATCATTCCAGTCTTCCATAAGAAACAATAGTAGCTGAAAAATCACTCCCTGAAGCTCACCCAATAGACCAGGGTGCCTGCTCTGGTACTAATCAAAATTTATATGGTACAGGAAACCCATGGAAATACTAATATTTCAACATCAGAACAATGTCAAGACAGATGTTACAATATCTGATTTGACATCCTGAACAAATTTATCAAGTTATAATAGATATTGAAACTTAAACTGCAGAATGATAAATAACACATAGAGTTATTAACCTAGTTCGGTGAAAAAACATCTATTCTGGGGGCTACCATGCCAGGAAGAAAGTCCACTATCAGCATTATTAGTTCAAAGCTAAACAATCCCAATTTAAAACTTTTCACCTAATCCATATCCAATCTAACTTCTGCCTAGGAACATCTTAAATATGAGAAATAGCCATCCTACTTCCTAAATCACCTCAGTGATATCTAACAGACTCAATCCCAGTGATTGTATCGAGTATAACTCAACAAGAAGATCCTACTTCCATTACAATACTTAGCCAAGACTCTTGACTAAGAACACTACTTGAGTTTGCTTAAAAGTATCATCCAAGAACAATACTCAACTTATTTCCTAAAGGCTTCTGGGTGAGAACATAATATCGACCACAAGTATCAAAATATACAAGGGTGACTTACACCACACAATACACAAGATACTCTCAAAACCTAAAACTATTTTTTCTTCCCATAAATTTACAATTGTTGAAAGAAGTAATTACATTAGGTTAGGTCTTCTCTTTAAATACACTTATGTAGTCCATGGGCTTCAAATTCTGCATCCAGAAGTTTCTGGATCCATAAGTTGGGTGATACACCAATTGTGCAGCAAAAACTCCTTAAATCTTGGAACAAACAATACAAAGTTTTCTAAATCGTCTCAAGGCCCAATTTGGTAACCAATGCACAGTTGGAGATATAAAATCTATTATAGCTTAAATCTTCTTGATCTGCGAAATAAACTGAGATATATCCAAACGAAATATCACAGAATCAAATCAAATCTGCCAAGATTTAAAACATCAGCCTCTGTTGTACCAGACCAAGATTTCATGGCATCTGCTTCGACATCTGGCTGGAAAAAAACTCATAACAGCAAAATTGTTATGACAGTTAACAAGAATGATTCAGTAAAACTATATTTTAGCAAAATTATGCCAATACCAAAATCATAGAACTAACAAGTATTACTCTTTTTCTTTTTCTTAGGTGTAATAATATGTGTCGAAACCTCAGTCAAGTTCAAACATGTGTATTTTCCTCCTATTCACATGTACACTAGAACATTTGTTGACTTAAATGTCGATTTTCCTATTCATAGACCTCTCTTTCTTTATGTTTTACCATATTATAAAAAAGACATCCCTAAAAATTTTGTGGCGATATTTAAAGTCTGAAAGCTTCTTACGATAAATCGTACGATCTCCAAAAATATTCCAAAGCTTAATCGTCTATAAAGTGCAATGAAGAAGGAGTATTCGAAACCACTCTAATTCTCTGTTAGAATTGTGAATCAGAGTCTCTAAGTGTGTTTATTTCTTTATTTTCTCATATATAATTTCAATGTGTCTGAACTGAAGCATACACAAATGACACTCCACTCTTTTGTTTATATTTTTAAACATGCATTTAAGTTAATATGTGTAAGTTTAGATTTAAAAAGGTTTGCTATTTACTATTCAAACTCTTCTTTTTTTGTGATCATTACTTCCACGCCAATTGAAAACATAAAATATAGGTTGTGTCTCTAATCGTTCCGTTTCTTTGGTCTCTAATCGAAAGAAAAAAAGTTACTAATTAGTTGAAGAAAAATAGTTTTTCTTCTCACAAAAAAACAAATGCTAACCTATACAAATTATTACTAAGCACAACTTCATTGAATACCATACTAGACTAATTAACTTCTATTACTTCTCCCTCTCTTGTTTAACAAGTGTAAACAACAATAATTTTGTCAAGCCATGACTAATCATTACTCCATGAAAATCAACTAAACATCAATATGAAAAATACGATGACATTCATAATTCTTCGATAAAATAAAATAATTAAATATAACTGCAAGTGTCAGACATCAAACACACATTCGATTTAATTATTATTCTATTGGTAAAGAGCATACAATCACATTCATAATTCTTCGACAAAATAAAATAATTGAATGCCGTAAGTGTGTATCCGACACCAAACACGCCTTCAAATCAATTATCATTCTTCTTAGGCTTCCCAAATAGACTTGAACTTGCTTTAGAAAAACAAACAGTTGATACATTTAAAACATGACTAATCCTAAAACCATTCTCACAACTCTTACCAGAATATAAGGATTGTTGTCTATTCGAACTTGTTCTCCTTAGATTTGGCGACGAACCTGTCGAATTGCTTCGCGACAAAGGAGGCGAAAAGCATGTAAATCTTGTCTTTGTATCACAATTGAGACTTTTGCTTCTTTTGAATCCCCAAAAAGAACTTGTTTGAGTATATTTTTCTTCAACTTGTTTCTTTATTTTAGTCGAAAATGGACGAGGCGGAAGATTCATCATACATGGAGGATGTTCCTTATAATTCTCACTGATGTTTTTCTTCTTGTCTTGTATCTGCAATGGAAGTAATACTCCATTACAGAAAAGTTCATCAGCTGAAGATGTTTCAAACTCAATGTTTCTGCTAATGATGAATTCAAATTCAGGATTTGATTCAAGAAGAGATTTGCCTCTACGAGGATCATCATCATGTTTCATTGTTGAAACATCATTGGAGAAAGAGAAACGAGGTGAAGATGTTTCAGAACACATAACTGAAAACAGAAAACAAAGTAGATTTCAATGTCCAAATGAGTGAGTGGTAATGATAGAATTTATACTAAAGTTTTGTATGGTAGATAGTGATTTTGAGTTTGGTTCAAAATTCAATATTTAACCGTGACATTTTTTATATTTTTGAATAATATATTATGTATTAAATAAATAAATTATTGATATTTATAAATAAATAATTTTAAAAATAATAAATCCAAAATAGATGAATTGAATGAAGAATATTTTGGTATATTTTGACTTGTTTTATAAGATATGGACTTTGAAGGGTTCTTATCCTAACCATCTAGGAAGATTTTTCTTCTTTTTCACCATACTATTTTTGTATTTTTTTTAGATAAGAGGAACTATCTTGTCTCATCTCAAATATTATAAAATATAAACAATCACTAAAAATCATTTAGTTGGTGAAGTACTATCAAATACTAATCCCTTAAATAAATTATATGCAAAATTGCCCTTATACTTTAGAGAATTAGATATAAATAAATATTAAATTTAATAATACTTTTGATCTTCGTATTTTGACAACTCATAAAATTAGTCTTTCCATTTTAAAATAGAACAAAATAGTACCTAAACTATGTTATTGGTTGCAATATTAGTCCTAACCTCTATTTCTCCTCCCAAAACGCTAATAGTTATGACAAAGTTTAACATTCCACCTAAGAAATGCCTCATCAGCCAATCTACTAGGTTTGATATATGGAGTCTCAGTTGATATTTCATGGGTCCAATCCCATTCTTCTCCATCAACACCCATATCATACTCAATTTCATCTTCACTTTCAGCTTCAGTTGCAACATAGTCTTCATCTTCACCATTAATATAACCATCTCCAGCACCTTGGTCATCTTTTGTTACCTCATAAGTACCTTCTTCATTTTCAGCATCTCTCATAACTTCTTTATTCTCAGCATCCTCGATAACTTCTTCACTTCTAACACTTTTATTGTTGACATCTTCTTTCTCACCTCTAACCTCCTCCATCACAACTTCTTCAACATCAGAATTGGCCTCAGTTTCACCATTCCTAATCTCATCACCCAAAGATCCTTCATCACCAACTTCAACTATATCAGGATTATCCATTTCATGTTCAACATAAAGATCTACTAAATTATACCATTTAGCATCTGGAACAAGCTCCAACAAGTCACCATCAGTGTTTAGACGCTTAAGTCCACGCTGAAATGATAGCTTTAGATGCTGGTACCACAAACACTTGAACTTTGTATATTCAACACTTAGGACCAGATTTTTAATGTCCTCATAATTCACCCAATCATCATCAAAAGTGTCTTCCATCTCATAAACTAGACCTTTCACGTACACTTTAACAGGGAAACATATAAATCTACTCTCAAGGTTGATATGTAACTTCAACCTCTGGTCATCACTTGGCCTATGCATATCACAACCACAACAAACAAAAAACCTTAATTTATAAGACTTATATACCGCAAAGTAACTTTCGACCAATGAAACCTAATTAATAACACAGATTACATACCTGAAACAGTATTTTAGATTGTCTTCATTGTCCTTTGCGGCCATGGCCGATTTGATGGAAGATGAAAGACGAAGAAGAATATGTTCTATTTGGGAAGGAAGAGATTATATGTAATTTCTGAAAAATGATTTTATTATTTTTGTCTTATTTTAGAAATTAATTTGATGAATTAATAATTTAAATTTCAAATATGCATTGTCACGTAAGTGTTCCTCTAGCCACATCACTTAAAATTTGGACAAATCAGCATTTTTGGAGGAAAAGTGCAGTGTTAGGACTAATATTACAACCAACAAGATAGTTTAGAGACTGCTTTGTTCTGTTTTAAAATGGAAGGACTAATTTCGTGAATTGGTAAAAACACGAGGACCAAAAGTGTAATTAAACCTGAAATTTCGGTATGACAGACTTCAGATGTCCTATGACATGTTGAGACATCTGAATCTGAACAAAACAACATGGCAAGGTATAACAATAAAAACAGTACTGAAAACCATAAACAACACATATGAATTGTTAACCCATTTCGGAGCAACTCTCCTACTCAGGGGACATACCAAGTCAGAGACAAGTTCACTATGATAGTATCAATTCATAGATCCTACAACAAACATACCAGTTTACGATCTACTCATTTAATCACTACCCGTATTATACTTCTATCTAAGATTCACCTAGATATGAGGCTCTCCTCAATCTGTCTTCACTCATAGACAGCGATTGGATCAAAACAAGACGATACAGTTCCATGATAAAAACAGAAGACACACTTCGATGATGAGAAGATACACTTCTGTGACAATAACTAGTTAAGACTCTTGATTAAGAACACAACTTAGAGTTGCTTAAAAGCTTCCTTCAAGAACAATACTCACTCTTGCTTCACAGTATCGAGGTGAATAATAATAGAGACATTACAACTCTATAATACAGTCCAACTCACAACCCGAGTGGATCACACAACCAACTCTCCTAAAGAGTGATACAGCTCGGCCGTAATGACTACATCTTTATATTCACAGTTGATACCTTTCCTAGGTTACAATACTTCTATTTATAACCTTTTTCTCAACTGGATTTGAGCTTCAAATCACAGCATATCAGCTGCTACAAATCAACAGAAACTTCTGCTACAAAATAGGTCTTCAAGCAAATCTTTCCTAATTTATCTCCATAATTAGAAAGTCAATATTCTTCTTGATTCTGACTTGAATCTTCAAGACCTATAAAACAGCGTCACATAGGATAGTATAATATTCCCAGAATATTCTGCATCTGTTAAATCTTGAACTGATCCAACTATCCAGTTCAGTACAGGCGCGATCTCAAATGACCCTACATATGACATCTTATCCGATATGTTGCTCCAGATGATGAGAACTTTTCATCTCAACATGTCTCAACATAAAATAGGACTTCTTGCTCAATCTATTCTTCTTAACAAGTTAACACATCTTATTTAACATATTACTGTTATATTAATTTTACCAATCATAATACAAATCTAAAAATTAGAGAATTAACAAAATCTAAATATTAACTATTTATTTTTTATTTTTTTAAGATAATATATCTAAACTATTTTTCATTTAGTTTAACATTTTCAACTTTATATCAAGTATCAAAAGTATTGAGGTACAAATCATAATATCTACCATTATTTCATCAAAATAAGGAAAGAAGAAGGAGAAGAAAAACGTATATGATTTATGAACCAAAGTTGCATGGTTAGATGGTGAGACTAATTCAATATCATGATGTGAAGTACCAACTCTCTCGAAGACTAGGATTTTTGTTACAAGGACTACAATCATTATTATTTTTTCTACAAATTAAAACTTGTGATTCATCTTCCCTCTTCCTAAATTCCAAAATTCCAAAAATGAGTCACTTGTTTTACTTTAACAAAAAAAAAATAGTGGTATCCATCATTCAAGTTATTAGATAACTTGGTCAAATGGAACGATGGTCTTGACTTTATAAATATTCTAAAACATGATTTTTCATCGATTACCATGGTCTCTTTTTTTTTCTCCTTAAGAGTTCTTCCAACACTCAATTGTGAATTGGAAATATTGAAGTCTTCCTTATAATGTAAAGACAAATCGTGAACAACAGAACGATATATTAACGTGGTAAGCTGGGGTGTCCTTTGAGGAAGGACCCCTACATATTTCCTTCTTTAACCAAGACAACTAACCTATTTCACATCTTGCCATGTGTATATCTCAATACAGAAAACCCATGTAACGACAAAATACTCCTTATTTCATACTAGTACCTTCATTTTATTTATATAAATCATGTACAAATTTAGTTGTGATTGCTATTATGGCTAGAAAATAAAATAGATCAGTCACTCTAATATGATTCAATTGTTCCCTTAAGTCATCTTAGTTAATATTTATGCAGAAACATAATCACCTTGATTAATAGTTATGCAGAAACGAAACAACAGTTATTTTTAATATTCAATTATTTATTTTTAAAAAATTAATTTCAATCACTGAACTATGGTTCAGTTACATATCTCATGGTTAGAGGCGTTACAAAAACCTGGAACTGTATCGAACTGCCTGTACCAAATTAAAAATAACTGAACCATGAACAAGTTATTATTTTTAAAAAAATTATATATATTTTATAAACACATATGCTAATTAAAATTTATAAATTTTCTCTACTGTATTATTTTAAGAGAATAATATTTCAGGATAAAGTTTTTTTACACATTCAACTATAGAAAATCAATAATCTAACATATGATTAAAAAATTAATTAAATATATAATTGTGATTGATTGTTAATATAAAATTATTTTACACTTTTAATGCATCACTTCTTTTCTCTTATTTTAAAATCAGTTTTAATATAAATTCAATTCTATAGTTAGTTTAAAATTATTTATAAACAAAAATATAAAATTTTGAAAATATTATCAAAAAAATTATTTGTTAAATATTTTTTTCAAAACAAGTATAATATTTTACCCCATCATAAAAAACAAACGATTCACCGAACTATTGTAAAGAAAAGTTATAAAAATTCGATTTGGTTTTAAATTTTTTTTATCATGATTCAATTCAATTATCTTCTTAAACTGAACTATGAACAGCCCTAGAAGTGATTGTGCTGGTTGTTCTTATGGTAAGGAATAAATTTTCAATGCATGAAAGCAATTATAAAGGGAAAGTGTTCCTACAACTGAAATTGGTGCAGAGAATATTGTAGAGACTTGGGATAATGTAATTGTAGAGTCTTATTAGGATATTGTTTTTTTTTTTTTTTTTAGAATTTGTTATGGCATCCTATATATAGGAGAAATATACTTTATATAAAATCAAAAATATTTTTTGAAAATATATTTATGAGGCACATCCTATCTTCATAAAATTAGAAAAAAAATTGTTACACCGCTGCTTAATGTAAGAAATATGTAAAAAAATATAAAATTGGTAAAAATCGGAGATACATATTCGGGAAATTTGTACGGAATAAATCAAAAAAATTGTCACCTATAAACCGGATATACATTTGCGATTTATTCTGAGAAATCAAAAGCTTAAAACAGCACGGTCCATGGGGTATTGATCATGCTCATTTAAAAAAGGTGACCAAAATACTCCAAAAAAAACTCACATTCTCAATACTATTTTTCACTCAAAATCAATATTCTTGTGGTGCATTATATCAAAATGAGCTAAAGGAAACTGAATTTAAGATAAAACTTCCTCTTTTCAATCTACATTAACCACATTAATTTGTTCTTTCAGTGGAAAAAATTTCACGTTAGTATCGAAAATATGTTTTCGGTTTACAGATGAACTTAACCGGAAATGTACTTCTGGTTCCTGTAACAACTATTTCCAACAACTTCAGTTTTCTTATTTCCCTAGAATATTTCTTAGTTTAATCTGTTTTTACATATTAGGTATGGTACATTCCGATAATTTTCCCAAAGCTATTGTGTCTCAAGTTGTTTCGTCTAATGTGTCTCGAGGTGTCTCGCCTATTCTTTCCCAAGGTGTTTCTCCTGTTGTGTCTCAAGGTGTTTCACCTATTATTGTTTCGCCGATTGTTATCAAGGCGGTCGATGTGCGGAAGTATTTTACAAATGAACAAGAATATGAATCTCGAGATGTCACGATACAGTGGATTTGTACGGAGGCCACCAAACAAGGCTTTGGTGTTGTGATAAGAAGATAGTGGTTCGGATAGACGACCTGCATTTGTGACATTGACATGCGAAAGAATTGAGATATATAAGCGGTCTATCAAGAATTTGAAAAGAGGTGATACTGGTCAAGAAAATGAGTGATTTACATAATCATGATTTAAGTGCAAAGTTAGCCGGTCATCCAAGTGCATGTCGCCTCTTGGCGGAAGAGAAGGAATGTGTGTCTGACATGACACTAAATATGGTCGCTCCAAAAAACATACTTGGCATGTTGAGCGCAAAAGACCCGATAATATTTCAAATATCGGGCAAGTTTACAATCAGCGCTGCCAAACAAAATTGGCGCTTAGAGGAGATTGAACTGAAATACAACAACTCTTAGAGCTTTTAGATGATAACAACTGCATTTGTAAGCACCGAAGATGTGAGGATGGAGTAACAGTAAGATATATATATATTGGACTCATATTGATTCCATTAAATTGTTCAATATGTTTCCTACCGTGCTTATAATTGATTCGACGTACAAGACCAACAGGTACAGGTTGCCATTGTTGGAAATTGTCGGTGTTACGTCGACTTAAATGACATATTCCATTGGTTTTGCATTTCTAGAATATGAAAAATATGACAATTTTGCATGAGCTTTAGAGGTTTGTCGGTAAATGTTAAAGGACCAACAAATATGCCAAAAGTCATTATTACCGACCGCGATACAACACTGATGAATTTTGTTGCGAAGGTGTTTTCGATTTCTTCTGCATTACTTTGTAAGTATCACATTACTAAAAATATGAGAGGTCGGGTAAAACCCGCGGTAGGGATGGGTCAAATTGAGATTGAAGAGGGTAAACTAGTTAAGTCGGGCATTGTTGTGGAGAAAATTATGGCTGCTTGGAATGTTATCATAAATGCGTCTATCAAAAATTTATATGTTGATGTTGTTATACATTTCAGGAAGGTGTGTGATAAATATCTCAATTTGTTGAAATACGTTGAGACTACAATTTTGGATCAGGTGAAGAAGAAGATTGTTTGTGCATGGACAGATTAGGTTATGCATCTTGGAAATACGACAACAAACCGAGTTGAGCCGGCTCATGGATGTCTGAAAAATTGGTTGGAAAATAACAAGAGTGATTTGTGTACGAGTTGGAAATCCGTGAACCAAATGATACTTAAACAGCATAATGAAATGCAAATATCATTTGGTCGTAGTATCACAGTGTTGAAACACAAGTTCAAAGACAACTTTCTCTATTCTCAGTTGATTGGCAACATATCACGATCAACTCTTAATTTCATTTTTTATGAAGCCAAACGAGCCTCTGACTTAGGCTCCGATACCTCTAAGTGTGGTTGCACAATTGTGAAAACATATGACCTCTGGTGTACTTGTTTCATACCTAAGAAGGTGAAACTTGATAGCCCGATACGAATTGACGAGGTATGTAGTCATTGGAAGAGGTTCAGTTTTGAAGACGCCAGTACAATGGAAGAGGGAAAGTCAAGTATCACAATCTTAACATAATGGAAAGCGATACAAGAAAGATTTAGGAAAGGCGACGACAACACAAAAATCCACATCAAAGAACAATTGAGGACAATCGCATTTCCGGAGACAACCGACTTGAAACCATCGTCTCAACCGATTGAAACAAAAGAAGCACCAAAAAGGTCAAACCTACACCAAGTGAAAATTCTACAATGAGGAGTCCATCGTATTTTGAACACGTTGACAAATTTTTTCCCGATTCACTGACACCGAAATCTCAGAAAAAGGTCTTCAAAGGTGCTCGCATAAGCAAACCTCCAACTCCACCGCCTCCACCAAAAATATCGCTCATTGAGGAGATGCTGGTTTTTATGCACAATCACATTGATCGGATCGTCAATGTTGATGGTGACGGTAATTGTGGTTTTCGGGCTACTTCTGCTTTACTCGGTAAAGGGGAAGAGGATCACACACTTGTCCTCCAAACTCTTATCCAACAGTTGAGGAGCCATAGAGATTTGTACACACATGTGTACGTGAATAAGAATAAGTTTGAAGTAATCTATAATGCTCTTGTATCATCCATGGAAGCATTTGCACCGGAGAACAAATGAATGTGTTTCTCTGAGATGGGTCATCTCATTGCAAGTGCGTATGAGAGGGTGTGTATTAATCTTACAAGATACGGTTTCTCATAAACTACTTTCCCATTGCGCACTGCTCCAACATCTATATCCACTAATTGTATCATTTGTGTTGGGTGGATTTCAAATCCCCGATATTTTATTCCAGTGTATTTGAAACTGGAATGCCTTATACCAACTACATCAATGGAGTGGGCGAATCATTATACAGACCAATATGAGACTTGGTCGGACCAGTTTATTGAAAGGATGCAAGAGTACACCAAATAAAGAACATTGAAATTGCAAGAAACAAGAAAAAGTCAAAGAGTGTATCACATGTGGATTTATCGGGAGACAATTACTTCGGATCTTTTAAGTAATTAAATATGACTTTGATGTATATGTCTTTTTGTTAATGAATTATGATGTGGAATATTCCTATTTTGATAGTTATGAAATATATTATTATATTTTTATTCAATCTGCTCTTTCTGTTATTTCTGTTTCTGATTTTTAGTACCAGGGACTTTATCGGTAATGTACTTCTGATTTTCAAGTTAAGGTGTAACCGAAAATGTATTTTTGGTTTTCATTCTGTCAGCAGATAGGATGTGTGTGGTCCATAACATCCTCAAACTACTATGTAAGAAACTCATCCCTCATGTTATCTCATGTCTAAACATTAAAATAAAATAAAAATGAATATCGTTTGACATGTTGGAAAGATTCACTTCGTTACCGGAGATCTACCATCAAAAAAATTCAAGACCAACATGTACGAACCACTTGAAGATCTTCATTATACAATACATAGACTTTTACCATTTGACGACAATCGAAATTTTTTGAAGATTGAGTACTACTATCCATCCACTAACAACGACGAAAGCTTGAGTTCATCAACAAATAGACAAACAAACATTGATTTACGAGCTATGTAGAAAACCTTTTTCAGTTACGATGAAAAATTTCAAACCGAGCTTGAAGTGGTGATTACAAGAACGACCGATGAAATTTTGAAGTTGTTGCAACGTTCACCCGGATGTTGAAGTTTAATGTTACATATATGTTTAAATCTCATATATATTGCTCACTTTATATAATATATTTTACTTGAGAATTTTGATGTAATGTGTAAGCACTGTTTTCCTATATTCTATAATGAATAATATCAGAAACACACTTTCAGTCATATACTGAAAAGGTATTTTCAGTTTTGATTATTTTTAATTAAATATTAGTGCGTCTCAGAAATATATTTCTGATTCCAAAAGACATATTTGAAAATTCACGCAGGTGCATAAGAAACACATAGGATGCATTAAGAAGTTCTCTTTGTTTTTTTTATTAACATGAACACTTAATCGTTACGGTCCAGCATCTTCACTGAATTGTCTTTTACAGTTTTAATTATTCAAGATTATATTTGACCTTTATTTGGGAAGTATATAATATATTATTCTTTCTTTACCTTTTTTTTATTGAACTCTAATATTTTAGCTGACTTATTGGCACTTAAAAACACTTGTATTCAACATATTAGACCTTATTCGGGTTGATCAGTCCATCAAACAGGTTTAAAATTGATTATAATTTGAATGGATAGAGTAAATCATGTCCTAAGTATAAACATAGATATGTTGAGTTAATTTTGTTTAGTGACTAGCACACTGAGTATTTAGAAGAACTAGAGTTCTTCTATGATAAATGTTATGAAATACTCACCACAAGGCAATAATCATAAACATCTTTTACAGGAAGTTTAGGATTTCACCAAATCTCCTAGATGCAATACAGAACAGAACAATGGCAAACAGGCCATTGGTAATATAGTTACAAAATAAGTAGAGCTTTAAAAGCCAAGAATAAACTGTCAACGAGCAACGTTTCTTCTTTTACAAATAAAGCCGTCGTGATATACATTTTGATGTCCATGGCTTGATAAATGGTAAAAACCTATATATCTTAGAAAGTGTGGTAATATGAACAATTCAATGACTAGTTTTTTACCCATCTAGAGACAAAAAGAAACTCTTATTATCGAAGATCAATGACATCAAATTTTAAATCTGGGTTCAAGAAAACATCTGTACATGTATCATAAATGGGACCACCATCTGGAGGCTGATTATGTGGATGAAAGCCACGTTGCTGGCATTGTCTAATGACCGACATGCCACCAGGGGTTGTCAGCCGAAAAATACCGTGGGTTCTGGTACATGTAAATAGACATAAGTTATTCAAAATAGACAAACTTTCGGCACCTAAATTCAATATTTTCTTTGTAAGCATATATCTAAAAATATTCTGACTAATTTCGTTTTAGGTGGAGAATTGTCTTAAACATGTTTATGTTCTTTTGTAGTGAATATTTTAGAGATTTTACATCTGAACAAGGATTATATTGAAAGATTAAAGAATTAACATAGAATCAGAGTTTTCTACAAACATTTCTATATGGGTTATAGTTATTCTATAAAGGACTCTACTTGTTTGTCTAGGTTTAACAGATCTTTTATTGTGCTTCCTACTTATTATCTTTCATTTTCTTTCTTTATATATGGTATGCTTTCTTCTCTAATTCCCTATCAAGATACATTTGAGACAAGATGTTACCTTGAACTGTCGGTTGGTGCCATGACAATTGCAACAGCTTCTGGCAACATAATCTACAGAGACCAGCATTCACATAGGATTTAAAGTCAATTGCAAAAAATAGCAAAATTACTTAGCTTGATTCTGACAGGACTCAAATGCATTATAAATAAGCTCGTCTTTAACAGAAATGATAGAAGAAACAAATTTAAGCAAAATCACCAAATTTCTAAGAGATCGATCATAAAGCAAGGTGCATTGAAGAAATGGAATTTCAGATATAGTTTAAACTTCTACATTGTATATTATACTCTAAACTAAGTATTTAACAAATAAAAAAAAGATTGAAAAGAAAGATTGAAAACAGAATCAAGAATGACTAGTTGTAAGTCAACAATTCATAAAACAGTGCTAGGAATTTGATCTACGTGTGAAGCATCAGAAGTAGATGTTTTCTTGTGTACTGACATTTCCTCATACTTATGGTCAATAGCACAGATACATCTCAAAGTTTAAGGCAAACAACATCACAGCTAAAATTTAAGAAACCTCTCTTGAACTCACCTGATATGAGTAATGGGTGTGAACATCAATTGATGACATGAAACAAGATTGTGTAGGATGAGTCTGGCAATTCAGAATTATATACGTCAGCATTGCAACACGGATATGGGAAGAATATAGAAGTAAAAATAATAAATTTGTGTATGATATAAATGAAACCGAGGAGTGTTGCTAACAAGTAAAACACACATTTTCATTCTCTTTTAGTATTACATGAAATATTGAGTGGATCCCACTAAATAACATGGAACTACTCCTTATCAATGAGGCCTACATGCAATATTATCAAATAATTGGGTGTTGAAAAGAATCTATTGCTAATATTAACTAGAGTAACAAAACAAAACTTCAACTCTACATGACATAATTTCTTATATCTGTTCTTTGGAAGTTGGAAAATAGAAAGAAATAATTAATAAAAACACCAATTTGTACCCTCCTAGCGCAAATGCCACAGAAGTTCAGGCTGCTTCATTTAAGCAAACAATTTTAAATCCACCACAGGAAGGTTGTGCATAATATTAGTCACAAGTAAACGTTCCTAAACTGAAACTCTCTATTGTTGTTCTCAGTTCTCACAGAAAATAATCCACAAGTACTGACCAGGAATGTCCCTATGTGTCACAATCACTTGGATTGCCATGCCATATCCTTTTAAGGATAGCTTTTAAATAACCAACTGTTTGACATTTTTTTTCTTCTTTTCATTCCCGCCGTGATTAGATTCTACCAAGTCTACTTTTTATTCAAATTAATTTTCTTCACCTTTCTCATATGTGGGACTACAAGCATACATCTAACGACTCATAAACATTCACCGCCAATATACTCCTAGTGTCATCTTAGCCAAATTTGAAACATTGTGCACTAAAGTTTATGAAAATCACTCCAGGTTCATAGACGTATGGCTATAAGAGGGCTTCACATGGAATTAAATTCTTAGGCTTTTTGTGATATAATGACATCCAATGTACTCTCCTCCAAATTTCGTAAGTGTTACCCCTTAGCTTATACAGGGTAATATTGTGCACATCCCACCCTCTCCAGATGCCAAAAATGGTTAGTGCTTTGTGCATATGCCATCCTTTAATATTTTCCAATCAAAATCTACATTTCTTACAGTTACTTATCTAGTTTCATGGTGACATGGATAAGTATCAGGTAGTTTGTGACTAGGCTATGATAATATTTGTAAATATGAAGTGTTCCTTAACTGAAATTCCAGAATGGACTGAGCTTACAACGTTATCAAAATCTTGATCTTAAGCTTAATATCTTACGATCCCACGACGTGATAGCAATCTTGATCGTATAAGATCGTGTTTAGGTAAAACCGTAAGTGAAAAAAAAGACATAGAAAGAATGACGTTGCCACAATGGGAGATGAAGATTATGAAAGCTCAGCTGATGTTGGAATAGAAAGAAATCCAAATAATTAGGGTTGCTTTTAAATGGCCCCGATCCAACAACAAATAAATAGTATGGTTGAAAATTACTTTTGTCATAATAACGGTGTTAAGTTCCCAATAATGAGTTAAAAAAAACTTCCAATAATATCTCACTGAGTAATAAATTAAGGGTTCTCCCAATAAAATCTGGCAAAGGAATATATATTATTTTAGTATAGTTTTTTAAAATTTGCTAGGATCTTACAATTTACAATCTTACTACCCCCTCCTGATCCTATGTATATAGTTCGGTAGGTTCTTCCGATCCTAATTACGATCTTTCAATCCCTCTCGATCTTGGCAATATTGGCTCACATACTAACTCAGTGGTTGACTGTGATGGTTGTCGTTGTCATTTACATATCGATAAATTCTGTAGTTTAAAACAAAACTTGCAAATTCATATGCCAACTATTTGTTTCATTGGAACAGGATCATAAAACTGCAAAGAAAAACCAATAATGACATTGGCAGAAATTTTGAACTGGGTACGCTGAAGAAAAAATGAACCTCAGAAATTAAAGGAACGGGGAGGGTGCTATAAATATTGTATTATAATAGCTACCGTTATCGCCGGAAGTATTGCCTTATTGTGAAGTGAAATTTTGTTAGAAATCTTGATGTAGTGCTAACTAGTAACTACTAAGGCTAGAGACAGATATAGAATGAAGTATATGACCTAAAAATGGATTCGACTCCTTCATAAAGAGTTTTCACTTTAGATGTTAATGCATGAAATCTCAATCATTAATTAGATAATCAACTGTCTATAACATGAACATCCATGATTTAATATGCATGATCATGTAATATCAACTGTTAATTTTGTCATCAACGGTTGATATATCTTACTTTAGTCTCTAATAAAGTGAATTACTCACTTTATTGGAGCCAAATCCCTACGAATATGGTACAATATAGAGATTTATCTGAACAAATAGCATGAAAAGGTTTTAAAAAATTCAACAAGCTGTAACCAGTGCCCAGACAGAAAACTGAAAACTCACATGGATCCATCCAAGGGGAAAAAGAGATCGTGAATCCTGTGCTTCAAATATTTCCTCTTCATTTGTAGCTTGACACTGCTCAAGAAATAAAGGAATATCACATTTTTAGAGCAAATAACTATAATAGATATTACTCAACAGATTTATAATGAATGAGTTCTTACAGAGCTTGATGTTGCCTCCTGCTTGGGGATTATTAGAGCTGTAATATAGAATTTTCTGTTTTTCTGCATATCAGTTGGATTTGAAAAAGAACAATCAATATCTCACAGCTCAACTATGCGCTAGGAACACATTAATGAAAATTTTAAAACCTAGTACATAAAAACAAATAGCAGGCTCATGCACAAAAACATATGAACAAGAAAGTCCAAAAAAAATGTAGCTAAGGACATGAGACAAAATGTTCAAATGTCTTTTCTCTTGCAGCGACTCCAGCAATGGGCTAATATTTTTTTCTAAGTAAATAATGCACACGGCCAAAAAAAATTAATATGAAAAGAAAATTATACATTTGATGCATAAATTAATCTTAGCATTTCAACTCGTCTCGTACCTATTCTTGCTGATTACTTTAAGGAAAAAAATGTAAATAACACTTACAAGTGAGCCTGCAAGGATACCACAAGTCTCTAAATCTTTGTCAGTGTTAGACTTGGCAAGCTTCATAAAACTCCCCATCATTGCAGTAGACTGCAAATAGAATCAATTATCAGGAAAAAAAGTAATAGTGTCATACCAACCGACTGTTAAACTTTGGGAATGGTAAGTTCGTAAGGAAAGAAACTAAATACTTAAAATGAACTGAGCTATTCCTCCCCAGAAATGAACTTAAAAGAAGTTTGCATCAAAGATTAATGATAAAATGTTTTTGACTCACAATGTGTAATTGTAGAGGAGACTCTCCACGAACAAAACTATCTGACGATAGAGTCTCTGTCTTACATCCTGCCTCATCAACATGAGGTGATACTGTAGGAACCAAATCTTGTACTTCAGCAAGTACAGGTGGAGGAGAAGGCTGTCTGATAATTTTTATAGGATCCAAGTCTTCTGTTTCTTCAAAAGAGATAAGTGAAGGAGTTTCATCAGCATGTTGGACCAGGAAGTCCTCACTCTGGGTAAGAGTAGATTCTAAATCTGATCTATTCTGTTCCGAAATGCTATTATCTTTTTTATTCAGAGATCCATCTTCCAAGGATTGGTGAAGGCTGTTAGTTCAGATAGAAAATCCAACAGAAGAAATGTAGTTACTATATGTAAGTAAATAAATAAACCAACTCAAAGGTGCATCATGTACTACAGACCTCAAAATTTTAGTTGTAAGTATTATTTTTAAATTCTTCAAATGAGGTACATTTATTGAGAAAGGTTGGGATGAGATGAACAACACTTTTTTTATTAAATAACTAGAAGGCCAACAAAAGAAACTGGTAGTAAATAACATTAAAATAAAGTTACAACCTTGGAATTTCAACCGGAGACAGATCTATGATAGTTGGATACCTCACCTACATCCACAAAGAACAGTCAGGAGGATGATCTTTAAAAGTCATCAAAAGATATCGTTAAACACTGTCATACCCCTTTATCACTTGTAGGTGGTTGCCACTGCCCATTAAGCCCATTTGGACCTAGAATAGAATGCCTGGAGAGAGTTTCTTCTTTTGGACGTGGGAGAGTTAGAGATCTACAATAAGAAACATAGTTAAAAGGGTTATCAAGCAAAGAAGACCATGAAGCAGTATCTACTTCCATAAGAAGAGAAGGCTCATGTGACAAGCAAAAGATAACCAAAGATGTTAGCAAAGTCATATAACTTCATAAGAGTGAAGAAAGCAAGTGAATTAATTTATGCACAACTGACCAGCGTATAAAGATCAATCATATACTAAGGAAGAGCCAATACTTACAGTCTTTTCATATTATCTTCAACAGGCCTTATATAAGGAAACTGCTGGCCCCTTGATCCTCGGGAGACAAGCTCTCCCGCGGTTTGTCTGACTGCCTGGTCATGAATAAAATATCATATGAATATAAAACTTCTTCAGGGGAGGTGGAGAGCATGGAAAAAGTAAAAATATGTTCAACCAAAAGTACTGTCACTTGTAAGGAAACATTAAAACTCACAAGCTACAACCTTCAATTAAATTTCTCTAATAAATTTTACCTTTATTTGATCATAACTAGCCATCGTTTGCTTTTTCAGTGGGGAAAAATCGATAGAAAAATTTGACCGAAAATTTTCCCTCCCGCTTTGTTGGTATGATTTCCTGCTGTTAAGCTCATTGATCTTCTGTTGTGCTAGTGGTTTCAACTTCTCCAGCTCAATCACAGAAGCTAACAATTTCTAGTTATATCAAGAACCAATACATTAAATTACATCCAAGAATGTGTAACATGTTATCATTTGAGAAAAAGAATTGAAAACTGACCTTTCTCAATAACTCTTTCTTGCTCTGTGGAGATGTTCTATAATCTCGGTGCCGTGGTATTGTCTCAGAGACCAAACTAACACCAACAAAGAGAAAAGAACCTCGATTCAGTTTGACGACATAAATATGAATAAAATGAATTCGGCCTATTTTAAACAAATTTACTACATATAGTACAAAGTATTTAGAGTCAAATAACAATATAAGATATCTTGTTGTATTACCTAGAAAATCTTAGGAGCATGACATATAGATCAACAATATTTTTCTCTGCGCGAAAGATATCAGCCTGCAATATCAAATTCAATATTCGGAGATGAGAGGCCATGCAAAGCAAGTAATGATTTCTCTAAAGTAAAACGAAAAACATTACCACATTAATTAATGTTTCCAGATATAAAAATAAGCACAATAAATCCAAAAACAACATATAACAAAACATGTCGAGTTTAAGACTGAATTATCACTTACATGAAGCTGCAGAGTGCAGAATATAACATGATTGTAAAGTAAAACCAAATCTAATAGCATGAAAACTATGAAATGAGATCGATTACAGTCATCAATTTGACACATTCACGCATTTTTCATTGAGATTTATCGTTTAAATTTAAATACTATTTTTAATTTATATTAAATAAAAATATTTAACTTCAAATTTTAACTATCAACGACTGAAAATATGCCGAATGTGTGAATGCGTCAAATTGATGACCACGGGAAATAGTGGTCCGAAAACTATATAGTGAAATCCGAGCATGTAATTTTTCTTATCAGTCACATATTTAAGCGATAACCTAGTATCAAACACTTCAGAATTCAAAACCATAAATAAGAAGGTATGTTGAATAATATTAATATCAATTTCTCCAACTAATATGAAGTTTGATGAATATAACCTAACAATTACACTGTACAAACTCAAACGCAACAATTCATCTTCATCCTTTGATGTATACATAAAATCAAATAACCTAAAAACTGTTGGTGGATTCAATTGAGTTGAAATACACCTGTTTGAGGACATTATCAGCGATCCGGAAGTAAAAACGCAGCGAAATCCGATTATCAACATCGAGTTTCTGAGTTCTCGCAGCGATGTTGATCGTGTCCGAAGAACACGTCATCATTATGAATATGGTGATGATGTGCGTTTCCCGTTCCGACGCAACACCGCCGCGCCGCTCGAGATTAGCTTCTCCGATTCGTCGTCAATGGCGGCTTCGGCTTCGGCTCGGCACACGGCTGTTCAGATCAGAGGATTCTTGTCATTTTGGTTTCTCGTGAGGGTAGTTATGTCAACACAATGACAATAATTTCTATTTTATTTCATATAGGTTGGTGACATAGTTACATCACTAATTCACCGTAGTCGAATTAAAATTAAAATCAATAAATATTCCAAAACGAAGAAAACCGCTTATGGATAAAATTTTAAGAAATTATAAGCATACAAAAATTTCCATCATAAACCATTTTCATAACATGACTATTAAATTTTAATAACATTTAATTTTTATTTTATTTATTTATAAAATAATATTTTTGAATGGTTGTGATCAACCGAGTGGGTTAAAAAATTTATAATATACACTAATGAATTAACTTTTTACAAAGTCATTGCACTAATATTTATAGTAACCTATGCATGATAGGCTTATGTTATCATGCATCTCTTTTATGTACATATATGTAGTGATTCATATCAACATCCTTGTATATACAAGTGTTAGAAACACTTTTTATATAGTAAGTATTTGTTTTATCGTCTTCATAATGATTGATGTGATATTACCGTTATTTTATATTAATAATGTTTTGAGTAAGGGTTTTAAAAATGTTTTGGTAAATAATAACGGTTAAAAGTTGAAGTTTAAACGGTTTAAAAAACATGTCAAGTTTAGATTTCATTAATTCATTTCATATATATCCTATTAGCCAAGCATGTGAATTTGGCTATGATCATTATAATAATGTATCCTCTCAATATCAATTATCTCTAAAGCGGTATCGTGAATATTATCGTATTAATTACTAGATGATGTCTCATGTTAACAATCAACAAAATAATCTTAGAGCTTAATATAAGTGAATATCAACTCACAAATCTATGTTTAGGATTTGTTTATTGATAGATGAGTAACTTAGGTCAAGGTTTGAATAATATCTTTCAATAATGATTCAAATAAAAAACATAACATTAAAAGCAAAGATATTCATCTATATTGATCATCAACTTTGTTCACATACAAAAGATCAAAAGAAATACATATTATTTAGGTTAACAACTTCTAATCTTGATACAAAAAAGGTTTAGTTATCCATAGACATTATATTCCTTCAACATTTGTTTCATTCACACCAGTTGTGAGCAACTACTTCCCGCTGCAATATACTCAGCTTCAGCTGTAGACAAAGAAACGCAATTATGTTTCTTACTAAACTAGGAAATCAGGTTAGTTCCTAAAAAGAAACAACTACATGAAGTACTCTTTCTGTCATCAGCACTGCCTATCCAATATGCATCACAATAACCTACCAGTATAGAATCTGATCCATAAGAGTATAACATGCCATAGTCACTAGTATCATTGATGTACTTAAAGATCTTCTTTACTTGATTGATGTGACTTGTTTTTGGCTCAGCTTGAAATCTTGCACAAACCCCCTGTTGGCTGAAGATTTTGATAATGATATTAGAAGCCAAATGAATTAAACGTTTCGATCGAAATGAGGTAAAGAGCCATGTTTCGAAGTAGCAGAAGTAGTGTTTCGAATAAGCATGTCAAAGCTTGGAGCTTCGAGTGGCAATTATGGGAACATATCTAAAGAAGTCTCGAAATAACAACAAGGCTGTTGTCTGGGAAGAGCGTTCGAAACGGAGAAGTACCAAAGTATTTGAAATTCAAATGGAAGCGGGACATTCGAAGTTTGAAAGTTATGTGCTGGAGCATTTGGGGACACGTGGAAAGAAGAAAGAGGCATTGTCCTGCATGTTCTGAACGTGGCATAATCCTGTAGCAAGACCGTTATGGTCGAATTAGTATAAATAGAAGTCTTAGTATTAGGATTTCGTGTGTCATATCTAATATACAAAATACTCAGTAACATTCAAACTACCACATGGCAAGGGAAACGAATGCAAGAGAAATGTATGTATGATAGCACCATGTATTTCTGATTTAATGAAAACCTTTTACCATTCCCAGCACTTTCCTTTATCTTTTTGTCAAATAACATTTACAAGTTTTCTCATTTACAGTCTTTTCACTTCGAAATCTCTTCTTCAAAGCTTTACATTTTAATGCTTTCTTCACATTCCAAGCAATTTACATTTCAGAAAACTGTCATATTTTCCATACATTTACCTTCAAGTCTTATCCTTCGAACGCATATTTTTACTTAAAAGTCATTTAAAGATTTCTTACCTTAAACGCTTTCTTCATATTTCAAACCTTTTACGTTCCAGAAACCCTTTATATTAACTGTTTTATAATTCGAAACCATTTACTACATTTTTATGCAACTTTACATGTCTTTACAATTAGCATTTATTCATGTAACTTAGTTTCGCACACGCACATTTTGATTCCATCTTTAGACTTTTAGAGAGAGAAATCGAAATAAGCCAAACACTCAAATACCAACCATGAATATATGTTTGATCGTGAGAGTAACCTTAATATCCAAGGAGTCCTAGGATCAATCTAGTCGATCATGTGAGTTACCAGAGGAATTGAATAACAGTCAGAAAGATTATTCGATAGTTTGGAAGACTAGTGGTTGTTTACCAGAAATCACTGGAAACAAATTGGCACACCTGATGGGACCAATAATTGGATATTGGAAATCAAAGGATTGTTGACACATAACCATTACAAAAACGTTGGAACCTAAGAAGTTTGTTGTTTTATGAACCTGAGAAGTGGTAAGATAACCAACAGCAACCAACCTTTATCCAGAAGAAAACGTTTGGACAAAATGTCTAATTCTGACAATCAACAAGGGGACCAAAACGGCCCACATACAACAGGCACTAATGCGTCCACTTCGATCGGAACATCTAATGTAATCCCTTCGAACGCACAGTCTGTTGCATCTTCAACCAGTAACGTAGCCACCAATGGAGTAAGTGGCATATCAACTAATAGTTCGATCTTAGGAAATACTGGAACCATTGGTTACCCTGGGGGATTCGTTCCACCATCAGGGACACAATCCCATTTCGCCACTCCATTAACTAGACCACCCGGTTTCGATGGGAATAGAACCAGGAATTCCTCTTATGGAATGCCAACATCTTTTATGGCAGGTTTACACAATTCCACATCGAATTCATCTCCACAACTAGGGTCTGGGTCTGGGGCGAATCAGTTTATGACAAATAACCAAGGGTCAGTGGGTTATAGCACAATGCCTGTCTTAACCACAGACAACCAGTTGGCTTTTAGGAAATTGATGGATGACAGTAACCATAATATGATAGGGGTGTTAGCACAAACCATGCAGGAGATATTTGCCCCAATAGTGCAAAATGTGACTGTGACAAACAGAGAAAATGCTGACAATATGAGTCGAATAGCAGATTTCTTTGCTCCCCCAGAAAGGCGTAGGCAGAATCAGGCGGGATTTCGAGCAAACATGCCTGTTATAGAACAAATTGCTAACGACCCAATTTATAGATCACCCAGAGAAGAAGTTAACTTGGGGGCCATGGCACCAAGGTTAGAAGCCCCAATAATCCCGGGCCCACAAAGAGAAATTATAGAACCAGGGGCAAGGGTCGAAAGGCTAGAAGCCCCAGAGTTTCGGGAAGAACAACCTAGGGGAGTTGTTTTGGTTGGTCGAAATCAAGATGCCGATGCTGTCGTTCATAGAGTTCGAAACGATAACATCTTGGCCGAAAACAACTTAACCACCATGATAGAGAGAGTCATGGCCCAGAATGGCCTCAACACAGGAATGAGAAGGCCAAATTATGCTTCTCATATATTGGATTGCATAATGCATACTGATTTACCAAGGGGATATAAAGTCCCTAAATTTACAAAGTTCGCTGGGGATACCAATGAGTCAACAGTCGAACACATAGCGAGATATCTAACCGAAGCGGTAGATATAGCCAATAATGAAGATCTCAGGATCAAATACTTCCCAAGTTCCTTGACAAAAAACGCCTTCACATGGTTTACCACTTTGCCTCCTGGGTCCATTGACACTTGGGCTCTCTTAGAGAGATTATTCCATGAACAATTTTACATGGGACAGTCGAAAATAAGTTTGAAGGAATTGGCCAGTGTTAAGAGAAAGTTCACCGAACCCATAGATGATTATCTGAATAGATTTAGGCTTTTGAAATCCAGATGTTACACAGTAGTGCCTGAACATGAGTTAGTCGAAATGGTCGCTGGTGGCTTGGATTATTCTATTCGAAAGAAACTAGACACTCAATATTTGAGGGATATGGCTCAATTAGCTGATAGGGTTCGACAGGTCGAAAGACTAAAGGCCGAAAAAGCCAGAGTCTTTAAGAATAGCAAGAAAGAAAGGATCTCCTATGTTGAGACTGAGGAAGCAGAAGAATATCCTGAGTTCGAATTCGAAGAGGTCGAAATCGACCTCACTGAATTAAAACAGGCCCCGCCTTATTCCTGCAAATTGTTAGTTCCCACAAAAGGGAAAGACATTGCTGAAAATGAGAAAAGTGTCAAATTTCCAAAGAAGGTTTATACCTTCGATGTCACTAAATGTGACGAGATTTTTGACTTACTTGTCAAAGATGGCCAACTAATTGTGCCATCAAATGTCAAAATACCTCCTTTGGATCAGAGAAAGAAGAGAGGATTTTGCAAATATCATAGTTTCCTAGGCCACAAAACCTCACAATGTTTTCTTTTCAGGGACCTGATTCAAAACGCGATCAAAGATGGCAGACTAAAGTTTGCTGATAAGGTGAAGATGAAAGTGGACGAAGATCCCTTGGACGTCGCAGACACCAACTACTCCGAGCCTGCATGCATTGGAGAGGTCAACATGGTGGAAACTGATCGAAGCGACGCCCTAACAGGAGAGAAGGGTACTGAAGTTGAAAACTGGGTGATGGTCGAAGTCAGCGAGGAGGTCACTGAAG